ATGAAACCTGGTGTACTTATATGATTCTGTTTTCTTCAAGGTTGTATCTTCCTGGTCGAATATACTTATTGTAAGTTGCTTTGGATAAAAGCGTCAGCTAAATGCAATGTAATGTAATGTAATGTAACATGTTGATCTTCTGCTGTGCTGCCTTCACTGTCTACGTTACAGCTTAACACCTTTCCACTCGGAGATGTTTCTCTCTGCCTGTTCACAGTGACTTCTCAGGTCTGTTTGTGGTATGAACCCCCTCTTCTGTTGATGTGTGGACATTACTTTCTACCATGTCCCTTTTGCAGGCACATGCACACAGACATCAAAGTGGGCTTGAGCCCCTGCCCCTTTTCTTCCTCCAGAGAAAGTGCCCTTTTCTCCCCTTTTTTTATTTTTATAAATGAATATATATCTACTGCTGTTTGCGCACAGTTTCCCTTTCCAAAAATATATTGATTGAATACAAAATTAAAATATCAGGTCGGGAGATTAGACTGAAGTTCCGTAGCTCTCCCTCCCTCCCTCCACATCGGCAGTCCCTTCAGACAGACAGGTAGCAGCACCTCCCACTTTACCGTCCCATGTTATGCCGGCTTTTCTTGGCTTATTTTGAAGGTGAGTGGTGATGAACAAGTGACTAAACTGCCAGTGCCTCGAGTTTACAGCTAATTAGCTAAAAGACAATAACAAATATAGTTAACTAAGGTGGGCTACTAGCTAATGGATAAGTTAGCTCAAGGTTTAGCTAAGGCAATTTATCATGGGCATACAGGCTAATGTAATGTAGGCCTACTTAAGGGGAGACACTTCAAGTGAATACAGTAAAATGTGTATCTAATAACGTCATCACAATCGGCCCATTGATATGCAAATGAGGCGTTAACTAGGCTTAATTAAAATGCGCTAATTTGCATGCAGTTACCAAGGTATTGCAGGTGAAAAGGATAAAACAAAAAAACATATCACCTCACAACTTCTCCTGATAGCTACTTACGTGAAGTCAGTATTTTCCCCTGAAATGTTATGTTTAAATGCAGATTAGCTTTTAATCTATAGATGAATTCAGACATGGTAGTAAAACGTACAACCTTTATATGTGTTTCACAGAAGTTTTATTTCCATTAGAGTGAAAGAAAACATGGAAGCAAAATAGACCAAAATAACAAATACATGAAAAACCGATATGTTTGCCTGTAATGTCCTTAAACAGTAACTTCATAATTTGTATTTTTGGCTGCTCATTTAATAACTATTCATTTGACTAGTTTATTGTCTGCTCTTGTGCGTAGTGAATACTAAAGAAGACCATTGTCTCTGATTTAGCTGATTGTTTTGTAGATTTATGTTGAGTATTAAACAATTGCTTGAGTGTGAGGGTATTACAAATAAACGGTCAGTAAGTCAGAGATGTGCAACTATATTTAACTTTTTGTTTTAAAACATTTTTTTATAAATGATTATGGGAAGTGCTCTTTTTCTCAATTGAGCACCCGCCCCCCAAAATGTCTGTGCACGTCCCTGCAGGAGACCGTCAATGTATGAACTGTTTTTGGTATACGTCAATGTATAATAGCTGAGTTATTGAATATTTAAGAAATAGAAAAACTTCACCAAAATTATCCACAATAATACCTTAAAATACTTTAAACATGTATTACTGTAGTATAGCCATAGTGTTGGAGGATGTGTGAAATGTTTTTGGTAGAACTTTACTCTATGACAGGAAAGTTATTTAAGCTATTTTTTTTGTAACAGTTTTTGGCGTTGCACTTTGTAGACGGTTAGTTTGCATGTTTTTGATATAAATTAGGTTGAAGTTCCTTGTCTATACCTTACTTTGGTTTTTAAGAGACCTCGTTTGTGTTTTGAGGACGTATCGTGTTTGAATTATTAATCAATGAGGTTTGAATCTGTCAATATGTTTCTAATTTAACCGAACTATATATAGGAGAGCCCTCACCCTGCCCTCCTAACACTATACTTATCAGTAAAAGCTCTGAGAGGGCTTTAAAGCCTGATTAAAACCTTTACCTACCATCAGGTGTCGTTTGAAAAAGATTACTACCGAGAGCTTTGCCTCGCCCCTCGCCCTGGCTCATTTGGTCGTTAAGTCAAATAAAATCAAATGAAAAAAGGCATTGCGAAGGTCTATGGTCTTTATTGGCTTTGCAATTGACATTAAGATGATCCAAAAGTAACGGAAAGTAATCAAGTTACATTAATTTTAAATATAGATGGATTAGGTTACATTATGACTCGTTTTAAAGTGGATACATTTATGGTAGTTTTTGTTCTAATGATTTCCACTTTTAGAAGCATAAATATTTCCTTGCCTTCCAATCATATGAACATACATTTGATGGAGATACCCCAATATACCAATCACACACACAACACACACAATCATATATATCAATATATGTAATACCTTCACAAATTAAAAATCTGTCGCAGAGGTTAAGCTGTTTTGTTATTAAGATGTTGTGTAAACCTGAAGGGAAGTGAAAAAGGTTGATACTGTACTATGCATAACGATTATCTCTACACTGAATACATTTTTAGTAGTTAGTTACAAAGGTAAATATACAGACACGTTTTTGACGTAGTTTACTATCTATAACAACGATATACCCATAATTGATTGGTCCCATTCTAAAGTGGTTAATGTAAAGCAGTTGTCAGGCTTTTTCTAGAAAACAGGTGACTTTTATTTATTGTGTTTAAACTATTGTGTTCATTCTATGATATGTTTGCGTTATTTTTTTCAAAAATATGGGGAAGCATTTATAATGTGAATAAAATCAAACAAAATCCAAGAGCTCCACTTCACTGCACATCACCTCAAGTGTTGTGTCTCTTTAATATTGAGAAATTATGCAATGACAAACATGTCACATACATCTCACATGTCATGTATTCCGTGTAAAACATTAAAGGATAAGATTAGCCATGTAAACTTAAGTTAACAAACAACCAAACTTCGACAACAAAACCCCACCCAGTTTTATAGGGGTGTCTCCATTGGCCTCCATGTCTGTTAATCCGTTCCCTCTTTATTCCGCTCCTGCCATTGGTCGGCGGTGACGACAATCCCGAGACGTGATCCCGCCCACCGAGCGGATCAAGTTTGAATGAACAACAGCAGTCTGTTCTAGAGGTGCTAGTTGCATTTGCAGTAATTATTAAAAGTGTGTATCATATCGCGGGGGCGCTGATCAAGGATGGACATGAAGAAAAGAATCCACCTAGAGTTGCGGAACCGCACTCCGTCAGATGTAAGTTGGCCTCATCTGTGCTAATGTTTCACTCTCAGCTAATGGAGAATATTTCGTGTGATGTCTTGGCGTGGGGATACAAAGTTTCCTCCAAGTTAAAAAGGTGATGGTAGACGTCGGATCACATTGTTGCTTTGGGAACATGTTTACAGTTGGCAGGTCGCTGCAGGTACGCCGGGTGAACTTTTGTGCACGTCTTTGATGTGCAGTTTGAGAATGCTGCACAGCTCTTCATGCCAGCGGTATAAACAAGGCAAGCAGCACGAGAAGCCATATTTGTAACTTTTCATCTGAGAAACGTGCCCCGTTTCCCCTTTAAATCCCCTCGGTATTGCTATGTACTCTTTGTTTGATGGGTTATTTGCATGCTGTGACTGCGAAATTAATATACCTGAACATTTAAGCCGTGCGCGTGGCGCGTTAAGGATGCGGATGCTCAAAGTCATGACATTATCAATGATGCATAAAGATCATAGCCTCGATTTATTGCCGTAAAAATGCGTCCTACACCGACAGTTAACTCAAGCAGTCGTTTGGACTCGTTTATTTCTGCAGGAGGTGCATTCAAACCTACTCGAGCCTGCAGCCCCATGCAGCCTGTATCTGGAGACACAGTGCGCACAGATGGCCGAAAGAAAGCGGTGTTAGCATGGACCGTTACCGACCACCAGGCTGGGCGAAAACCTAGAGAAAACACAAGATACATGCTTCAGAAACACCCCCACATTGTTATTTACTGCAGGGTGTGCATTCAGCCGTTTCAGAGACTCTTGTGGTTTTTCGACGACACTTCCAGCAGCCATGATGAAAACAAATGGTCGAGCCGCGTTGTTGTTGCTCTAGTTTTCCAGAACTAGGACAAGCCGCCATTTTACTGAGAAACAAAGGCATCCGAAATACACCGAATGTCCCGTTCATTCGACACATACGACGAAGGATTCATCATACCTTCCTATTAACAGAGGTCTATACACGCCTTCAGTCCAAACGGAAAGTGTTTAGCAGAAGCAACAATGAAACGTTTGCCTGGCAGCTATCTAATGTGCCTCAGCTGCCCCTCCTACTCACAAATGACCCTGTGCACGACTCGTAGGGCTGTTTCTGCCTCCGTTTCCACTAATCGCTCTGTACCTTCTCCACACATCTCTTACTACGTTCAAACTCGGTTATAAAGCGCGTGTCTGTTTATTATGAAAACGTAGCTAAATGTGATATTTACGTAATGGACTGAGAGCCAATGCATCGCGATAACTACTGCGTTGTAATGTGTCTAAGGATTATTGATGGACTGTAATGTTTTCATAGTTTCGGTGCTCAGCGCTGATTGGCTGATTCACGTTGAAGGCTGTGTTAAATATATCCGATAACAGCACACCTGAGAGACTGCCTATCAGTTTAATTATTATCAATGCAACGAACCAAAAGCAACGCTCATGTAAATGCCCTGTAGCTCAATGTGTGTTTATTGAGGGCTATGTGGATAGAGAACCCTTCGTTACTTGGTAAATGGCATTTAAGAAAAAAAAATGCAACATTTGTCACAATAAATGTAGAGAAATATAAGTATAGAGTAAAGGGAAATACTTCAGTATGTACAAGTAGCTGAAATCTTTAACCAAGTACCGTATTTGAGTACATGTACTAAATAACTAGTCCAGAAGTATGGATCCTGGATGGAACCAAGTAAAACAAAATGGCAAAACCAAACATTTAAATTACTCCATTACAATAACAAGTCCTTCTTTGTTTTAAGTACAAGTAACAAAGAATCACCACAATTCTAACTACAATACATAAAAAAACAAGGACACTTGTGCAACAGAATTCGTATCATTATTAGTACCACATTAGTTACCTTTTCATTTCTTGTCAGGAAAAGTACTTGAATGAAGCAGTAGACTTTAGCAGTAGCAATTAAGTTAGCCATTTACTAACATTTTATTTATTATGCAAACATGATCATTCAAAGCGACTTACAATTAGTAAAGTCAAACTCAATATCAGTAATAGTAAGAGCTTCTCATCAAAACTTTAAGTGCATCCCTCCTTAATAAAAAAAATCTGAGATCTTTAACTTGGAAATTGTCTAGGCCTCATATTCAGTTTGTCTTTTTTTTTTTTAACTGTTCGGAAATGTGCTTTTCAGGTCAAAGAACTTGTTCTAGACAACTGTCGCTCAAATGAAGGAAAGATCGAGGGTCTAACAGATGAGTTTGAGGAGCTGGAATTTCTAAGCACAATCAATGTTGGACTGACCTCAGTTGCCCACTTGCCGAAGCTAAATAAACTCAAAAAGGTGAGTGTTTTTCTGCACAAAACAAGTCTGTTACTTAAGGCTTTGGGGTTTTGCATATTTTGATCTGTTTAATTGATCCACAGCTTGAACTCAGCGATAACAGGATCTCAGGAGGGTTGGAAGTTCTGGCAGCAAAATGCCCCAACCTCACACATCTCAACCTCAGTGGCAACAAGATTAAAGACCTCAGCACAATAGGACCATTGGTAAGTGAGACCCCAAAATAGTTGCTGAAGAATTCACAATATACCAAGCAGCTAGCTGTAATTATTGAGCAAACTTGATTTTTCTTTTAACAGAAAGAATTGGGAACCCTTAAAAGTCTGGATCTGTTTAACTGTGAAGTGACAAACCTGAACGAATACAGAGACAACGTGTTCAAGCTGCTACCCCAGCTCACGTACCTGGACGGGTACGACAAAGACGACAAAGAGGCACCAGATTCTGATGCTGAGGTCTATGCAGAGGGCTTGGATGATGACGATGACGATGAAGATGGTGAGTTTGCGGACTCGCACACCTTCATGTGTTCTTTCTAGCATCTGTTAAGGTGGGAACATCTGGCTAATAACAACAAACTTGTGTCACCCAGATGTCGATGAGGAGGAGGATGATGAAGATGCAGCACCAGGAGATGATGAGGAGGAGGAAGGAGAGGAAGACGAAGAGGAGAATGAAGAAGAGGAAGAGGAGGACGTCAGTGGAGAGGTGAGAGTAAATCAGATTTGCACTCTAATGATACAAAATAATTCTAAATGAAATTGTATTAACTTTACCATTTGTTTTTTAAAGGAGGAAGAGGATGAAGATGTGAATGACAAGGAGGATGAGGATGATGAAGGTGAGTCAAATAATGGCTGACTTTAAAACATAAGCAGTCTCCTAAATCAATACTAGTTGCTAAGCGTATATATTATATACAAATCTTTATAGTATATATTTGTTGCAGTAAGTACACAAGAAATCAACAGTTTTCATGTTTTCAGTGAAATGCATGTCATTGAGGCCCGTTAAACATATTGAATTAATTTCCTTCAGTATAAGAACATTTTTGTATGCGTCTTTTTTTTAAACAAATATTTTAAGTTTTTATATCTAGCTTGCATGTTCCCTCCAACAACTACTGAGCAATAATAGTAGTTATTACATTTTGTCTGGAAAGAGTTTGTCAATTGTAATAATTCAAAGTAGGTCATTTGTATCAAATTTGTCTTGCTACTAGAGAAGGCAGGAAACAACTGCTTTTATACTAATAGGAAACAACATTGTGCGTGCACCCTTGTATTGGCAATCAGACTGCAACTTTATAATGACACTGCCAATTACATTTATGAACAGACAGTGATGTGTCTTTACAAAAATCCAAAAGTCTTGCCAGCTACTGTTAGTCCTAAATGATGGAACCTGCAAAACAACTTTAACGGAAGACATGGATTTACTTCTAGTCTTTGCCTCTCTTTAAACACAACTCTCGTTTTTGTAGAAGAAGAGCGAGGTCAGAAGAGAAAAAGGGATCTGGATGAAGAAGGGGAAGAAGGAGAAGACGATGAAGACGATTGAGGTTCCTCTTGAAGCTAAGTCATGAACTGTTAAACTTGTATCTCCCAGTCACTTCTCAACAACCCCATGTAATTTCCCCCCCATTTCATATTGCAGTAGGAGTGGTTTTTGTTATTGGCCAGTCAGGTAGACGGGGTTGTCTGGAGAAATATGTTACATTTATGTACCTTTGATGCTCCTGTGTTCCAGTCTTTACAGTCCACTTTTATCTGCTCTGTGGACTCCAATTTTGTAATATCCAATAATGGCAAAGATAAAACTTTTTAAGAAATGTTTTTTTCTTTTCTAAGGTTGTGTAAGACCAGTTTCTGATGTATTTGATTTAAAACCCCCTTCAAAAGAAAATAACAAAATAAAAAACAAAAAAAAGAGTGCATGTCTAAACATTTTAAAGTCAAATACTGGATTTCATGTATGGCTGTCCTCTCCTCGTCTTAAACTTATTTTTGCATCGTACTTTTATCTCTTTTTTTTTTTTTTTTTTTAAATGTAAGTTATGCGTTTGTAGTGTCACCAGAATGCCAATACTCTCTGCTGTCCTGGTGTGAAACTTCTGTCTGAACATGCACAGTGTGACCCTCACAGGGCATATTTTTAAATCCTAGCAAAGAAATGTCTGCCCTTGTCAAAGCCGCTCCTCCTCCTTAAACCCTCAGCTTTGATAGTTCGGAAATTACGTGTTCTTGTAAATACTGACCAAATCTATTTTTTTGTATTCTCTTTGATGACGGCAGACATTGAACAGACATCTGAGGTGAAACTTTGACTTGTAATAAGATATTAAATATGTATGCTGCTTTATCTAAAAAAAACGCAGTGTGACATTTCTTGAATTTGAACATAACTTTGTATGCATAATCTTTCCATAAAGACAAATGTTCAACATCAAAACTCATCATCACTTTTCCCATGTTCTTTTCTGTGACACACAGGTGGCAATGTTTGAATTTGTGGTGGTAGTGTAGAGAAATACTTGATATAAACGGAGGTTACAACTGCAAATTATGTGCATAGAAATGTTATTGTTACAAAATATGTAAACTCTGGAAAACGGTCAGTTACTTGGACTTTGTTTTCACTATTATTCGTACTGGTCAAATTGGCCTACCTCAGTGATTTTTCACTCCATGTTAAATCCACTGTCATCAGCCAAATTGTTTAATTTTCCCTCCCATTCACTTCAATAAATCCCTTTTTATATACGTTTTTGAGTTTGTGGTCTTTGTGCAACATTGTCATGTCAAATGCAAAGTATGTAACAGTTTTAGGTCATTGATGGAAAGATGATATTTTTCAGATTGAGATGTCATACTGTTAATTCTATTGCACAAAACTCTTCACCAAAGACCACGCCAATCACATTTAAACTGGGTTTAATTGTCCAAAATGTTAGTCAAGCTCAGTGCCAAACTAAATGGATAGAATTACCAAGGTTAACAAGAAGCCCTGACAAAACTCAACTCCAATCTAACTTCACCTGTCTCTCCACTGTAGCTGACCCATTTCTGGTAGATCCTTATCCCACTGTCTACTTTCACTGTAGAGTTAGATTTTTCCTGCAAAAAACACATTTACCATTATCCTGTCACTGGTTCCAGTCTGCATGTAAAGGGCTTGTTTTATGGACCCTTTATGTTCCAACTATGATGTGATCAGGGAAGACTTGAGACCGTAACTTTTTACCAACTCTGGGCACAGATCCGTTTCTGCATGAAGCCGATCGAATCATTTTCCTTATCTCAGTCCATCAGTAATATGAAAGGTTGAATGAAATGGGCCTGGGTTAAAAGACACATGGCATGTTGTGCAGCATCTTTGTCAAATGTTAATCAAGTGCCCATTTTACTTTTTACACTGAGGGGAAAAAACATGAAACGGTCAAATGTAGGCATTTATACCACAATTCAACCTAAATCTGATGATTGAACAAGTGAGCAGCAGCGATGACCTGGAGTTTCTAGAGCAAAAAACGCCTACAGTTAAGCACATGTCACTCACTAATGGTGATATGCTTAGTTTAAATGTTAAAGGATGGTTATTATCACAGTTTTCAGCACTGTTAGGAAAATGCAAGATTATATTATTTATACCTTATCTGATTATGTCGTTGGAGTCACAGAACTAATATCATAAAAGGTACAGTTTCACACAAATCTTGCACCAACTGGAAACATTCAGCAAAATCTATCAAGCGTCACAATCTTTACTTGCGCAGCCACAGCATACAAAAAATGGGATTAACAAATATACATGTTATTAGTTAAAAAGGTAATTTGTGACAAATAAATAGAAGCACATATACATTACCACCAACTTGGCCCTAAAACCCAAAACAGCAAAGCTTCTGTTGAGACTATACCGGAGTTAGGCAAGTCCACCACCTCTAAATACATGTCTCCCCTGCTGCTTAACCACTATTTAAATAAAGAGTAAAGTACTAAAGTGAGTGATCATCCACTCCTTAGAAAGAAAGACTGCATAAGGGTAGCTATAAGTCAGTATTGTGAAGTCAATTTATAGCCAGTAACATTGGTTAGGGTGAAAAAAGGGATGGGATAAGCAGCTTGTGAAAAGCATGAGCCACATCTGCAAAAGCTTGTGTTGTCTGTCAGGTGCAAAAATACTTCACATCAGCCGTTTTGAAAGGATGCTGCAGCTCGCTGCAAACGGTGTCTGCAGAAGGGAGTAAGGCCTTGTGGAAGCAAAATAGGAGCCAGCGTGACAATCTTTTTATCCTCCAGTTTTGCCTCAGCAAAAAATGAGAATTGTGGTTTGGTCATAAGAGGTTGGGAGATGTTTTTTTTTGCGTAGTGATCAAGGTATTGCATCGTGAATGGCAGGTTAGGCACAGTGAGACAAATACTCTAGAGGTCTGGCAGAAAATATGCGACAACTGATCCCAACACTTGAGTGTGCTAGATCAGGAACAAGTAGTAAAAATACAGACAATACCAAATGGATTGGATCTCAAACATCCATCGAGTTCATGTTAAGGTGGAAATCCATGAACAGTGCCTCGTCTTCATTACTTATCACATTTGTTAATATTACTATTTTCCAGTAATTGTTCCAGTTAAGACATTATCCAACACTTATCATATTAGTGTATGCGCTATGTAGGGCAGCAGGAATGAATATACAATTTATCAAAAAAGAGGCTGAGGAGGGCTCAGAAGCTTGTTGGAGGTCAGAATTTGGGGCAAAGGAAGCAGCTTTGCCAGTCCAGGAGGTTGAGAGGTCAGACGTTGTTGGGGCTAACGTTCTTCAGGTTGTTGAGCTCCAGCTCCAGCTGGCGTATTCGCACATCCTTGGTGGTCAGCTCCTCCTTCAGCCGCCGCAGTTCATCCTGCTGCCGAAAGAACATCCGCAGGAGCTACGTAAAGAAAACAAAAACTCCTGCAAGTTACACGTACAAGTATTAACATGTTAACAGAATACATTCTTAGAATGTAAACAGATGGAAGACACTTATAGTCACTGCAAAAAGCTGAGGCAGATTCACTCTACTCAGAAAGACAACGTTTACACTAGGGGAACAGCAGGGTATAGAGATGGCAGCTGTGTGAAGTCACAGCATTATTCAGCACACACCTCGTTCTCTGTCCTGGGGGGTATATTCTCCAGCAGGTCGATCCCATTCACTACCACACTCTTCTTTTCCTTCACTGGGGCCTTGAACACTAACTGGTTCGGTCGCTGGTAACCCTCCTTCAGGGACATCAAGACTGGTTCTGTTCACATATAACAAGCAAAATAATGTAAAAACCAACAAAATAGCACAAAGAGGCTTAAAGGCACTTTTCACAAATAAAATATACAATTTTTACCACGTTACTATAGTGCTATTCATTAATCTTGATTATTTTCTATATTGTAAGTAATCCTGGTCTCCCTGGAAAGAGCGATGCTGTTGAGCATTTGAGATGTATGTTTTCGGCGCTTTGACTATCACAAGCCGAGTGCCATCTTTTTCAATTAAAATATATTAACACATTTAAAGAAGAAATCTCATGGGCAATATCTTCAACACAAACAATCTAGATTGATGAGTAGCACAACAGATAAGAGGAACATTTGTGACTTTGGATTGAACTGTCCCTTTATACGTCACCAATTTCTCAATTCTCTGTGTGTCTTAAACCTTGCATATCTAACTCTTGCATATGTACTCACAGGTTTTTAACATTTGGAAAACCATATGTGCAATTCATTCAATGCCTGATCTGCAAACTAGAATCTGTAGTTTTCCCAATACAAGATTCCCCTATTGTTTGGAGTTAGACGAGTGTCAAATGACTTCCACAGAGGTAACATTGGAGAGGGTAATATTCACTTTGAAAAGGCAGTCTGTAATGCTTTATTATGTCTTAAAACTGTAAGTCCTGGATTTAGTGTTTAAGTGGCTGACCTTATAATTTAAAGACCTCATAAAATGCATATCAGAGTTGGAGTTAGAGTATATATAATTTTAAGGAAATATATGTGGGAGTTAGCACCCAACACAGGATGATATGTTGGTATAAGATTAAGATAGTCAGGTTTGGGGAAAATAGGACCCAAGTGCAGTTAAAAAATACAAAAAAAGGTTTGTTAACAAACCGCGAGCTTTATTATAAAAAGCCGAAGGCATGAAAAAACAAGAAACTAATTAACAGAAACAAAACCGGGGAGCATGACAGACAGGAACAAACTTACAGACGGGAACAGGCAGGAGACACGTACAAGGTGACAGGGACATGAAATGGCGACGAACAGACATGGAGCACAGGGGAAGACAAGACTAAATACACAGAAGGGTAATCACAGGACAAGACAGAGCTGGCAGGGGAGGCAGAAGCACAAGGGCAACAGGTGAACACAATGAGGCACAATCAGATACAGAAGGGAAACTAACGACAGGAAGGCAAACACAGGGAGTAGGATCAGACAAGACACAAGGAGGAAAACATAGGTGGAAAATGAAAACATAAATCCAAAACCATGACAAAGATCTTCACTTAACATCAGTTTATATTTGGCAAAAAGTGTATTCTGTTAAATGTTGCGAGTCTGAAGTGATGTTCACCTCTGTTAATGCCGCTCAGCCATTCACTTGCAGTCAGCGCAGGTTCTGTTCCTGCGGTCATGGGGTAGATGTCCTCCTGGTACGTGTCTGACTGTAAACCAAGAAACATACATTCTTGTTTTATTGATTAGATTTGGTATCGGAGGGAAACAAGATCATATTATGTTGTCTTAAACAAGATTTCATGTTTTAAAGCATTACACGTAACCTCTGCATTGGTTTGAAAATATTCGTATCCACACCAATGCCTTCAGCGAGCACTTAGACGCTTACTGGCCTTTTCTCTCTGTTTTGCTACACTTGTAAATCAAACCAGGAAATGAAAAATTATCCTTTTACGTTCAGATTAATTACCTCTCCTAAATGACTCTCAGCTCTGATTACTTAGCTGTGTATTTCATAGCATACCGGACTACTGCACTGTATGTCAAAGAGTTTCCAAGAGATGTTGATAAACCACATTAAAAATGTATGCCTCTTTAACCAATTATGTGCTGATTAATTGCAAAAATGTTTGCAGATATAATAACAGAGTCAAATCTGTTCATTATTCATGTATACCCACTAACCCTCCTCGGCACAATCATGGAGATGGGCTCGATCAAACCCTTCAGGGTGACGAGCTTGTAGAAGCGGAAAACCTCGCACGCTCCCACGTCCAGCCCGTGCTTCGGCATCACACCTGCAGACAATCATCAGAATTGGTGGTGACACAACCTTTTTGAAAAAATAAAACAATTCCATCCAAGCAATTCAACACCAATTGCAGTCACAAGAACAAGAGAAAAGTATCAACCTGCTGCAATGTCACACGAGGGAATGTATTTTAATTATTCTGCCTCATTTTTCCCTTCAGTTCATTTCATCCTTTCAGCCATGCAGCACCACTTTCAGAGTAGTAAATCCCTCCTCCCTTCCCTAAAGACTGCTAATGAAGCAGGTAGTATCTTTCACTCCGCTCTCAGCAAGAGAGATCACATTTGCTGACTTACCGAGTCCTTTCTGCGGCGTCGGGGACCGGAACTCCATTAGGTATTGTAAGTACGGCTTCTCTGTGGTAATCTCAAAGTACCGGATGTTGCCGTCCCCCTGCCAAGGCACCAGAATGTGTCCGTTACACTACAGTTCAAGAAGTAACTCATTTTTTACCATTCAGATTAGTAAAGCCTCCTCTCATTTTTGTGCTTTGCTCCAATTCCCAAAATAAACTGTGCCGTCTTAGATTTAAATACTTCTTTAAATGCTTTGCCTAACATTTTAAATGACTGATATTTTTCAAATGAATGAAGGGTGTTGAAGATTAGAAAAGTAAATATGAATGTCTTTTAAATCAAAATTGAAATAATACCCTAACACCTAGTATCAATTCTCAGAATAGTTTGCGTTCAAACGTGTCTGTGCAGCAACCAGGAGGAAATATGTGATTGGTGTCAAATATAAGGCATCAAAATTGACATTCATAAATACATATTTGACACTAACACATCAACATTATTTTGCTATTGTGTTGACTTGGAACTGTTTGTTCACTTTATTTAGGGGGCAATTCCTGCTGGTTTTAGTTAAAGGGATGCATTATGGTCAAATTCTATAATTTATTTTATCATTTTAATTTATTTATGCATTTTATGTTTGTATGCTCTTGGCACTCAAAAAAGGACAACATTGACATTTGTGGCTCATTATTTTGTTTTGTATTTGCCATATTTATTTTGAACTGTTTACCTCTATCCTGTTATTTCGTCAGATAAATAAATACAAATAAAAACCTGTAGTACAGTTTTGATAATTGAATAGACATCAATTTGGTTCTGAATGAGGTCAATCTTAATCTTGTGACCCAGTGATAGGCAGCACTGACCTTGCCTGCCAGGTACAACATGTGGGTGTCAGCATCATAGAAAGGAAACAACAGTCCTGACAGGCCGTCTATGTCCTCCTCCACAATTGGCATGGACAAATCCTCCTAGAAGGAGAAACACACACATACACACAATGCTAATTAAACACACACACTTGCTCCACCCACTCTGGCATTACATGCGCGGGCCATATGGAGGTGTTGTCTGACCTGGTCCCAGAGAGCGATCTGCCGGGTGTTCCAGCGTGAGACCCCTGTGGTGAGAAGTCGCTTCATGTTGCCCAGAAACACCACCCGGTTCACGCGGTGGTTCTTACAGCTGGCTTGCTGGTGGAGCAGCACACAGAGACACAGTGTTAATGATACAGGGACCAGCTCGGGGGGTTATTGTCTTATGTATTATCAGTATTCATTCTTAGGACTATTATGTTGTTGTGACAATACAGAGAAAGGATACAAATACATTTGCATCATTATTTATAGTAGGGAGCACACCGGAAGCATATGCTCTATAATAGGGTTGGCAAACAGCCTCAGGTGTAATCTTTGAAAGTAGATCTGTATTTCAGGTTCATATTTTCATGATGTTTCCCCTTTTTATCAGAACCTCTCTATTCTGCTCCTCCTGCGCTCTGGTGTTGATAACCTCCACTTGGTGCAGCAAACATGAGTCTAATCAGAAACCATTTCCTGGTGATCTGGCGGGGAGAGCACCAAGGTCAAATATTACAACAAATCATTAGGTGACCATAATTAAATCTGTAGATAAAAAATATTTTGACCAAACCCAGGCTTTAATTTGAATTTGTGATTTCATAGAGCTGCAATTTCTACAACAACATTTCTTCCCCAAGTTTTTGGATCCTGGCCACGGGGGTTTGTTCTCGTTCAGCCAGAAGAGTGTTAGTGAGCCATTGATGCAAGGCATTAAGGCACTCAAATGTCAGCGACCTTATGAACTTGTCAGCTGCCAACAAATAGGTGTATTTATTGTTATTATTGTTTGTTAATACTCGATTCTGATTGGTCAATAACTCAATACTATGGTGTGTTATTTCTGTGATGCACACATTTCTATGTATGCATTTCTTAAATTCTGGAGAAGATACTTTTTAAATGAATAAATTATTTTTTAAATAAAAAAAATAGTTCTTAAGCTAAGATTGGTCTCAAATTATTAATTTAGCCATGTAATAAACAGGATAATATCCAGCCAGCCGGTCATTATTGCACCATCCTGCTGTGTTCATTTTGAAATAATGAACAGCTAGCTGTATATTATCCCATAGACGCGCTTAACATTTTACTTGTTTACCCTATCATTTTTAAATCATAGGGTAAACATGAGGTGGTGAAATCTCATCAACATTATTCAAATTTGATATAGTCTCTAGGACAAAAAAACTATGAATTATTTCCTCAGTATAATCAGTTGTAGCAAGGGATATTTTAACATCAGCAGTGGTGCACACCCCACAGAAACAGCAGCCCCCCCCCCTGACCTGAAGGACGGCCCCGGAGCGCGGTTCGATGACTCGCAGCTTCTTGTCTTTGCAGCTGGTTGCCAGTAGGCTGCCGTCGGTGTTGAAGGACATGCTGAGGATGACGTCAGTGTGGCAGTCGATCATCTTCACCGGCTCTCCGATCTCCAGGTTCCAGATCAGGATCTGACACGGGAGGGAGGGAGAGTTTGGGTGAAGCTGTTAGATTGCTGTAGCGCTTGATTCAGTGGTGTGATTATGTTGTGGGCTTGGGACTAGAATTTGCCTTTGTTTTTGTGCGCTACTAATAACACATCCGACAGTAGTCTGTTCTGATATTCAAGGTGAAATAAAAACAATATACTTTACATAAAATTACTCTGTCATTTAGTGTTTTAGGAAATTCTATTAATCGTTCAGTTTATAAAATGACCTAAAACAGCAAAAACGCTGAACACAATTTTTCAGAGGCCAAGGTGTTATATTTATGTTATATCTGACAAATACCCTGAAATACTCATTTGATTATGATATGGAAAGTTAATATTTAGGAAGCTATAACCAGCAATTATTTGGCATTTGTCCTTGATAAATACAAACAATAATTGATTAATCAAACACAATATCATATAAGAATACTTTCAAAATTAACTAAAAGTGACACGTTTTATATATCTAACAGTATTTGAGTATCTAAGAAGACATGAATTAAAACATTGAGCTGCTTATACTCATAGTGCTTTCAGTGTACTTTGCTGATTTGAGTTGGTTACATGTTACTGTGCAGTACCTTGTAATCATAGCCAGCGCTGAAGAGAATGCCGCTGCTGGTGGGGTGCCACTCGATCACACCCACCCGCCTGCTGTGGCCGTACAGCTCCAGCACCGCCTCCGTCATGTTGCGCCTCAGACCGCCCTCTGGGATCTCCCATACTCGCACCTGCCGCGTTAACATTAAACAGTCAGCAGAAAGTATACAAAATACAAAATATACAGTGCAATCACCATAACACACACACACACACACACACACACACACACACACACACACACACACACACACACACACACACACACATACATTTTTTTTATAGAACAGGTCAATAAGTATGTATTTAAGTAAGATTTATTCAGAGCCAAAACCTTTTTTAAATGGCCGCAATCAACATAACACAGCTAGAGATCCCTCTGATCAAAAATAGCCCACGGTATCAATGCAGCCCATTGCATTAGGATTAGTCTGGATTACAGATATGGCTAGAGGCTCTGTGTTGGTCCAGAGGAGATTATCCGTCAACAAGTGAAAGTACTTTACAGAACACAGTGCTGCATGGTTTTACTGTAGACTAACATAACATGTGCGTAGGGAAAAGGCCTACAGGTTGTATATTTGCAACATTGGAGTTTGAGAGTGATAGTGATTAAGATTTGATATTGTGTCTAATGTGATTTACATAGTCAGGGAACTAACAGCTAGTGGATTTGTGACTTGCAAAAAGACATTTCACATCCGTCATTTGCCATTTTTAGGTCGCTTGCTCACAATAACAACTGCAGCAGCAGCTGCCGGGCGAAATCCAATCACAAGCTTGTGTCCAGTACAAACTCTCTACATCCCACACCCTGCGGACATAGTGATTTCATGACCTTTTTGCCTTCTGAGCCAGTGGCTGTCATGATTCACAGATTCATCTTCAAAGTTTCACAATACTATATTCCTCTATAATCACTTGTAAAAAAACATTAACAATGTAATAAAGTAGGTCACTTACCGAGGTGTCCTCCGAGCAGGAGGCTATGATGTTTTCAAAGAAAGGATTCCACTTGATATCGAGCACATTGCCTTGGTGGCCACACACTTTTGGGTAATGAGAGTCTAGGCGGCCAGACTGAAACAGAGAAAGATAAATTGTTAATTTGCATTTTCTTTTTATGTGTTAGCATGTTGGTGAAAGGAATGAATTAAGCATTTATTAGGGACTACGTGAACCATACCATAATCAAGAGGTTATACAAAAATGTACTGTAGGTTGTAATTAAATTGATAAATTGATAAACTGCGTAGTGATGTTTTTGAAATATAAAATGCATAAAAGACACCCAGTACATGGCATCTTCGGTAAAACATGTGTCAAAAAAGATTTTATTATAAAATAATGTTAATAATACAAATAAAGGAATCTGCACTGATCTCCGAGGAACATTAATGAACACATTTTATTGATGTGAACACGAAAGACGAAATAAAAATAAATAAAAATCACATCATAGAGATGATTTAATAAAGCAGAGCAGGTTATTGTACTGGGACATCTGAGGCACATCTCTGTTATTGCAATAACCCTCAGAGTCCACAGAGGGGCAGTGGCTCACAACAACAGGGGACAGACACCACCTCCAAATGTCGGTCATGTTGTCATGAATGTTTGATGCAACTTCACTCCACTGACCTATTTTTTTGTTCCTTCAGAGATTTGTTGAGGAGCGTCGGGTCATGCCTCAGTGAAATCCTGTGTGTGTTTAGGTCCACTGTCCTTACTGAACCCTGAACATTCACTCCATATGTTATCAAGCCCTACTCTGAACTCTATCAACCCTTCTATAATATAAAAAATATAAGAAACAATGAAAATAAAATGCAACATGTTTGCACCCTGAACCTGAAAGAGAAAAGTAATGCATTTCCTAAATAACTAAATTAAAAGCAATAAAAACATTTTTTTTTTGTACTAAATTGTAAATCACACAGCCTCAGTAAGGCTTGAACAATGTTTAGGTTTATGTATGTATATTAATGACAGTGAAATATCATGTAGTGTACAGTATACCTACATTGCTCAATATTAGCTTGCTACTGACACCAAGCTGACAAGTTAAAAAGCTATAATATTAATATCTCAGCACCATACAAACAGATACAGTAAATAGAAACATAAACACAAAAAGCATGCAGATCAATAAATACTTTTTGAATGTCTTACTTGTAGCTTATCCAATAAAAATAGACAAGCAGTAGGTGTGCCAACAGGAAACAATGTTTCAAGTTTGCTAAAGTGACCAAAAGCAATAGACATAAATGTCAGTTTAGTGGGACATCAATTCAGTCAATAAAACAGCCAAGGATAGTATGAGAAAGTGTGACTCTTTAACATCACTCCCGTTATTTTCTGCTAACTTTGGACCACAATAGCTTCTCACGACATCCAAAAAGAAACTCAAATTTGGGTACATGTACAGATACAAATTTAAAAGGGGACCTATTATGCTATATTTGAAAAATATATTGTAGGGCCATACCAATAGAAAACACATATATACAACATTTTAATTGTTTTATTATTATGTTTATTGTTGTTATTTGTAGGGCTTTGTCCTAATATTTATTTTTGTATTAAACTATGTTGAAAGGTTAGTTTAATGTCATTTGTCTATTTTGCTAGGAAAATCTGAAAAAAATTCTGAATGAAAGGCTGCGCGCGAGACTGGTTTTTCGCTGGGTTGAGTCGTGTGGGTTTTTGAGTGAGATGCGGCACAGCAGCCTGTCAGTTTACTCTTGCTAGGTTAGTTTGGCTATTATCATTTATATTTATCTGCAACAATGGATATCAGGAAGTGGTTCACGAAAGGAATATGGCAACTCAGCGCCAGATGCAGGCACATTAGAATGAATCAGTTACGTTACTAACGAGCTAGCAAGCCAGCCAGGGACAAGGGAGGCTGGCAATCAATTATATTTTGAAGAGAAAGTGTCGGGGTGGGCCCGCCCTGGTAAATCAAATGCCCGCCCAGAGATGTATGTCTGCCGCCGGGTCTGCAGCTAGACGACTGTATACGGAGACGATAGGATGGGACGTGTCACGTGTGCCACCAATGACGTCATAGGAGCCAAAATCCTGGATCAGCTTGTTTGCACCCCGGTTTTTTTTTTTTTTTAGAGAGAGAGAGATGTGGGTAAGGAGGAAAAGAGAGAGGGTTGTATTTTCTGAAACTTTGTGAGTCTCCTTACACACCGGGGACACAGATTTATGTATAAAAGACATCAAAAAGTGCATTTTGCATGATAGGTCCCCTTTAATTAAGTTATACAAAATTAAAAAGGGACAAGCAAGGCTAATGCCGAGTTTTGAAGATACAGTTTTCTATTAATGTGGATGGCCTCAAGACATTATTAACATGGGACCTGAGGGACTGCTTATTAAGATGGAACTAATTACCTGCAAGGAAATAATGTATGTTGGGATCCACAGGGTTCAGGGGTCCATGAGGCATTATTGGAGTCACACAGATGTGCCGGGCCAGCAGCTGCATTACACCAAAGGCACCGCACTGTGATGGCTAACAACTGTTATCGATCTCTAATCCCCAATAAATCCTAATTACTGCTGCTCTGGGATGTTCTAAAGGCAGTATTTTATGACTTGTCTGGCTATAATACAGTTTAATGTGAATTCATTAATTACAGACCAGGAGGGTGTTAACAACTCATTTGGATTCAATAATGCAAAACTGGCAATTTGGACTTTTCTATCCTAATTGTCTTTACTAAACAACTCACGAATGTTGCAGCTAAACATCTGTGTTGCTGCATGCGGATATCAATCACTATACATCTCAGCAGAGGGAAATGAACATGCTGATTCGTGCTTATGAAACTGAATTGGTGCTGCTGTGTTTTTTCTCATGTTAATGGTCTAATATATGCCGTTAGAGCATTCATGTTGTATGCACTAGCAGAATGGTCTGCATTATATTGACACTGTATTGGAGTTTTCTAAAAAATAACTTCACCGTGATAGTTTAACTTAATGGTAATTTTAACAAACCGTAGCAAAATAACATCCTTAACGTTGAATATGAGTATTGTGCACATTATGCTGTGAACTTCACTTCCATATATACAGTATATAAAACCATTAACCCAGGTACACTCTTAATAACATGGATGAATGCAGTGTAGGCATCTATATTTAATCATATAAAATATTACATTTTATCCTGCTGGTGAACCGACACATAGCAGAACCTTTAGTAAAAATAAACTGCAGTACATGGTTTATTTTAGATAAGAGATGAGATTGCAACAGCTTCAAGTATTTTCATTGTTGAAAATTGTGCTGTTTTTCCTTTTAAATATTCATTGGTTGGTCGTTAAAATGTGAGAAAAAAGCAAACAATCGCATTAAGGCAATATCCCAGAGTGCAAAGTGATACCTACACTGGCACCAAAGAATAATTAGCATTTTTTCCTGGAAAAAATTACAAATGCTTTTAAATAATTACAAGATAATTTAGAATGAGTAGTAATGGTAGCAACGATTCAAAAAGCACCACACCCACTGCCCTCTCTTTGTCTGAGGTGATTGAGAGGTGTTTGTCACCTTATGAGGTGATTTCTGTGCCAGTGTGTGTGCCAGGTGGTGCCAGCGGTATTCCTCCCCCTTGCTAGTGGCGTCGTCTGGGGCAACCATATGTCCGTCTCGCCGGCTGTCATCATAATATGTCTCACACCTCGCCATTGCCAAGCACACACACATCAGATTGAATTTCTAATGAAGGAGCAAGAGGGGCTCATTTCAAACGTTCACAAATGTAGTTTTTACTTTCCTTCAGTGCTTATATTACCAACCTTGTTCAGGTTATTTTTCTCTCATTTCTTATCAGTTTTGAGTGATTTCATATAATTGGACTCAACAGATTGACTTTAGTTGATGTACTTAACACTGGAGACAGTTATTGATTTTGGTTAGTGTGACTTAAGTGTGATTGGTGACATTGACAAACCTCTTTCTAATTAAGATTTAACCCCATCCATCGATTTCACAGTTTGATTTACTTTTGATAAGCTAACTCTGTAGCCTAAACATTAAACATCCTGCACTATAATGTGCATTGTATACAGCACCTTAACAGATACACTGTTAATGAATCCCAATACGTTTCTGTGTCCCTGGAGGGTATCGATAATTTATTAACATCACAAATAAGTGACCACTAGCCTAATAAAGACAAATTAATAATCATTCTTATCATTCAACACCATATATGTAGAATCAACACATTAAACACAAACTAAGATGTGTTTTTACTATTCATCTAATACAGAGGATAACTTAATTTTGCTGATGTGTTGTTTTGAACAGAGTCCTTCATCCCACAGAAGCTGTCAGCTGTGCTGCTGCTGCTGCTGAATATGAGAAATGCATTTCTGACCTCGTCAGCTCAGCAGAGGAAATGCTTAAGTGTAGGCCTACTTAGTACTTTGACCAGGAGGAAATCGATCTAGTATGCTCTTTAGAAGGGTCATGGATATATTCAATATAAGCAAAGAAATACCATTTGTGAAATGTGAGATTGACGTGAGGTATTATTTACCTTTGTTCAGGATAGGTTTTTTAATAAAGTATAATAATCACTTGAAGATGTGTTTATTGCCAGTCCATACCACTGTATTCATTTTCGGCTCATACGTCTTTATTTCTTCATAACTGGACTGACTAATAAAAAAAAGTCATTTGATGCCGGGCAGATTTTCTTCATATTAAAATGCTCAAAACAAAGTGAGTTTCATAAACAAAGAGCTCTGCATGCAGCCTCACCAATCTTAAAAGCCATATCTGATATATCAGTGTAGGGGGACAAAATGAAAAACACCCTTAAAAAAACCCCGTAAAGTTTATATCAAGACGATGCCCTTGTTATGTTCTTGCTAGCTTACATGACAATATTAGATATTGACTTCAGATCTGAAGAAATTGTTTAAAAAGCTGACATTATCTCAGCGCTTCACACCAAGTATCTCATCACCAAAAGGTCTTAATTTAACGTAAAATGTCGGCCTCCCTTATGGCAGAGGCTCTCAGCTTACTGAATACTTCTTCTTCCTGATAACAGCGTGAATCGACTCTGCCTGGCAGCCAAGAGCTTTTTTGAGTACCTATAGGCAGCGCCGCTCTTAAAGGGGCAAAACACTATTTTTATGGTTTGTCAGACCTACACTCTGAACTACAAATTGAGGTAAGAGGTGAACTACGTTAATGTCCTATGGAAAAATTACTCGCATATGTGCCGCAGTAATAACGTGGTCAAAAAACATCAACTATCAGCCTCACATAGAAAACACTTGCCAATTAGATAGGCAACTCTATTCATATTAGGCACAACATCAGCATTTAAAAACACATTTATGATCTCTATATCAAACCCAATATGATCAACACATAAAAAAATCAGTTTACTATCAGTATAATATCTCTCAAATGTGCCACTGCCAGGCTTATCCTCCACATACAAATCTGCAATGATGTTGTATAATGATTAATCTAGCAGAAGCAGGAAAGCAGAATGTGCTGAAAGAGAAGAGATTGTTCAGTAAATTCACTTTTCCTAAATGTAGGAAAGAATTTCACACTTTCCATAACAACAGGGGCATTTTGTGTTGTTTATGGGAAATACCAGTATGCCTCGGTGTTGGCATTTCACTTTGGCTTTAGGTTCTGGCTTGAAGATGTAAGCCTGGCAGGCTCTGAAGTAGCAGGGAGACTCTCTGGTGAATTTCTGTGGAAACATTTTTAAACCTCCAGATCTTAAAGATAAAAATAATCTGATAATTTAGACCGAATTACGGACTCAAACCCTAAACAGATATACCTTCATGTACCTCACCATCCTAAAAGCTTTGACAGTCAAAGCTTTTAGGATGGTGAGGTACATGAAGGTAAGTCACTCAACCTTTAATTGTTAAATGTCCCATGTCATGGCCATTTCTTCTATCATAATTCCATTGTTGAGGTCTACTAGAATAGATTTACATTGTTCAATGTTCCAAAATCACATTGGTTTTCTCATACAGCGCCTCTATAGTGTATTCACTCTCTGTCCTAAACGGCTTGTTGGAGCTCCTGCCCCCCCCCTCCCTATGAGCCCAGTGTGCTCTGATTGGTCAGCTCGCTCACTCTGTTCTGATTAGTCAACCACCGTTACAGCTGAACATCAGTGTTTATGTTTTACAATGGCGTTTGATAGCAACCAGAAAATGACACCAGTAATGACAAACTGATGAGAATGCTGCGTGGGGTCTGGGTGCCATGTTGGCGGGACGTTGCGGGGCTCGCTGGCCCGCCCTGTGGGGCTCGAGGAGCAGACAGTGAGAGATGGATTACTGATGTTGTTTCCTGGTTGCTGCGTGGGGTCTGCGGGACATGCCAGCGGATACCGCGGAGCTCCGGCAAGGCACTTGGTCTATATCCAGCATCCAGGGAAACACAGCGGGAAATCCACCTCACACTGTCTGCTCCAGGGGCCTTGCAGCGTGGACTCCTGAGCTCCGTAATGTCCCGCTAACATGGCACTTAAGTCTATATCCAGCATCCAGGGAAAAACAGCGGGAAATCCACCTCACACTGTCCTCTCCGGGAGCCTCGCGGGGCGAACTCCTGAGCTGCTCGGGAGTCAACCCTGGCAGAGGGTGTGCCTTTTGTTCTATAGCTGTGTGCCAATTGGTCCATTTGGACTTAGTGACGTCAATAGGCCCCGGTAGAAAAAAATGGAAAAATAAAAATCTACAACGAGGCGTTCTGGGGAAGCATAGACACGTATTGTCTGTGTTAGAGTTTTACTCGCTACAGGGTGTACTTTGAAGGTTTGTGACTTTGCAGACCGTTTACATGCAGAAAAAGCTACATAACACACAAGGAACCAGAAAAGCATATGATGGGACCTTTAACTTAACAATATTATCAAGCCCCAAATACTCTCCCCAAATACCCAAATCATCACAAATCTGCACTGACACAAAATAAAGTCAGAGGACTCCAAAGAGGAAAGACCCCCTTTACCTTCGATCCTGTCGGCATTTAAATACTATTTCTTTCAATATTTCCATTGTAAATGTTTCTTGCCTGTGCACCAATACACCAAGTAAAAATTCCATGTACGTGAAACCTACTTGGCAATAACCTTGATTCTGGGTCAGATAACAAAAAACAGCGGGTGGTGTTGATGCCAGTTACCTGGGGAACAGGTATGACGATGAAAGATCCGCCGCCGGAACTCTCCGTGACAACTGCCAGGAACTTGGAGTTGACGGCACAGAAGTGGTTGTCATGGACGTTCTTGGTGATGGGGATACCGTCGAAGCAGTGCTCCCGGTTGCCTACTTTTCCGTAGACATTTCGAAACTTGGAGCTTCGGTAGGTTGGACGCCATGACATCTGAGGAAGATAAACAAATACGTTTATTTTATTTTATAGAGCATCCTGATAGATTACTTTACTTAAGGTTGTTGTACAGGCAATTACAAATTATTTGCAGATCTATAAATGTATATACTTCATGTCTCATTGTTAAATTGTTAATAATCTGTTGATGAAATGTTGAAAAATGGCCATCAAAATTTCCCACAGTGATATTTTACTCGTTTTGTCTGATCCCGAAACCCAAAACTATTCAATTCATCACCTGTTATTTTGAATGTTCAGTAAATATGTTTGCTTAGCAAAATACATTAAGGATAACAACTTTGACCTCAATTTGGCATTCAGTAAATTGGTGTGGACATTGTATCAATGTTGTTGTATATTTTAGATGACAACCCTGCTTTTTACAATTTTTCCAGTAACATTTTAGTGTAGGCAGAGGAGATGAACATTTGGCGAAGTTAGTACTAACATAATAAAATGTAATTACACTGCCAGCGAAAGTTATCTTCATCCTTCATGTATTATTGACAGGATGTGATCATTATAATGTAGACAGCATCAATAAATCCTAATGTCAAGTTCCCATCTAGCAAACCCACAGTAGCGGGGTGGGCTGTCCCATCTGTGCAGACATGATAACTTTCACACATTCACTTGTGGAAAATCGTCCAAATTAGTCATGGATGTGAGGCTTTTGAAGGGTGAAAAGTGTTCAAATTGCCCACGATTAGTGTGTCAAGAAGGGATAGTAATAGAATATTAAAGACATTTCTTAAGAATAATATAATTACAGGAAAAGACAGCTGGTTAAACCGATATGAAATATTGCAGTTTGTCCTGTAGTTAGTAACTCTATTTTGGATCTCATACAACAAAAAAGCAGCCTTTGTTTGCAGCCACTGCACACAACAAAAGAGGAGAAGTGGTTTAATTTGACTCAAGAAGCTTCTTTTGTCTGTCTCTCCACCACAAGAATGCATTGACGGAGCTTCATTTTTTGGCGTGAGCTGACTCTGTACAACGATTTAAAGGTTGACAAAAGATGTCTGTGTCTTTCTAATGAATGTGGCAACGCTGGGAAATATTCTGAAACTGGATCTGTTCATTAGTATAAATCACAGTGATATCGGTTTGCAACAGGAACTGGCGGGACAGGATTTAAGACTCTTGTCAGATCACTAGCAGCGTTGCCGGATGACATCAGGCAATCCTCTATTCAGCATTGTTCTTGGGATGTAGAGGGAAACTGGTGGGAGTGGTGTACACATGCAAATAGAAACATCGTCAGACCATGCGGCTGCTATTGTCTTTCCCCGTCCCTTTTGGTCTCGAATCAGACTGGAGAAATGGCATCCAGTAGGCAACAATACTGTGGCTGGTCACTTTGCCCTCACTCCAGCCTTCAAATGTTGCAGCCGTGGTGACATGGCAGGAGTAATACAGTTACTATGCAATTACAGTGTCAGCACATTGTTGTTATTTTTAAACCCTAATTATGATGCTGAAACTCTTTCTAAATTAGCTTTCAGAGGGAAATGTAATGTTATCTCAACTCCATTTTATTTCTCCAACAGCAATTAAGTACTTACTCTTTCAGATCAAGAATTTAAATAATTTATGAAGAATAACTATGTATTATAACAGAGTTACTATTTGTCCAGAATCAAAATCTAAAGAACTGAAGCAATGATGCAAATCACAAAGGAAAATAAGTCCATTTGTAATACAGAAGTTTCTGTTTTTCTGTGGTTAATTTACCCTAAGGAAGCAAACAAAGAACAAAGAAATCATGGCTCCTCCTGTCTCTCTTGCTCTGAAAAAAAACTAAAAATATAGACTCTCAAAGGTGCATGCTGGTCCTATACCTGCCTCAAGTCTAGCTAAACTAAAAACAATAAATTGATAATAATGTCTAATGAAGAACAACCGGAAATAAATCCAACAGTCAAAACAATCTGAAAGAAGCCAGTTTGTATAATAATTTATTTACTTGTTAACTTGTAATGGAGAACTTTAGTTTTACATACATTGAAGTAATGCAAATGTTCCTTAAGTAAAGGATCAAAGTATCTAACCCCTCATTAAATGTATTTGCTTTTTGTCCCTTTTTTATTTTATATTATTGAATATATTTGGTTTCTGACTGCTGGTCACAAACATTCTACAGAGTGCAGCATACTCAAAGAACATCTCACTCTCATCCCATTCAAACGCAGATTGACTACTCCAGAACCACGGCTGTGTGGGCAGCATAATGGCAGCTTGTTAAAGAATTAATGTAGAACAGAAAAGCAGCAGAAAGCGGCCTGCGGGACGGTTAGAGGAGACTTGCCTGCTTTGAGCTCTCTTTACAAGGATGCTCATTCATTGGTCACTGGGGTATGGCACAGAGAGGATATCTGTGTGTGTCCGGGTCTTTCTAGTCTCACGAGGTTTCACAGTATAAAACACACACACACACACACACACACACACACACACACACACACACACACACACACACACACACACACACACACACACACACACACACACACACACACACACACACACACACACACACACACACACAAACACAAACAGATGACGAGCAGGGGTGTGCAAACATTCACAAAACACAATCAGAGAAAAATAAATGACTTGGTATTCATTGAGGCAAATCACAAGACCTGCTGGTTGAGAGCATGATTCCCCTCAGGGTTAAACTTTGTAAGGTCAATTTCATTTGGGCATATTCTCAAATGTTTATGCCAAGTCGGACACATTACAAACATAACCGGATACCTGACAAACGTTCTCATAACAACCACCCTGAAAATGCCAGCTTACCTTCCCAGTGTCCTTTGAGGAACACTAGTCACAGACTTGCCTTCTCACGCTGCAAACATCCACACTCCTTTCTCAGCGAGCTGCAATAATCTCCTCTCTTCCTTCCTTCCTTCCTTTTCAAATCCAAGCAGCCAGTCTGTGTCTGATTCTCTCATGTTTTTCCTCCCCACTCCCCTTTAAACTCTCTCTTCTCCTCCTACTGGTACTGATAGCTGCAGGGCTAGCACTCCCCCCTTCCCTGCTCTTACCCTTCTCTCCCATCCTGCCACTCAGTCAGCCCTCTGTCTCTGTCTCTTTTAAAGTTCAGGCTCGAGCCCAGCCAGAAGTAGCTATCCAGCCTCTCTCCTCTCCTCCCACCGCCTCTATGGAATCACAAGGCCTTTCTAAGCTGATTTGCTAAAACTCCCAGCTGTTTTCAGTCCTCTCTTCATCCTCCCCTCTTATAATCTCTTATCTCTAGTATAATGAAACAAAGACCTTCACACTCTCGCTTATTAAAAAAGTTGAAACATTAATAAAGAAGGAATGTGGAAAACATATTTTCAATAAGGAATTGTACAATATAGTTGTCTCAAAGCTGAAATCAAATGTCACCAAATTCGCTATATTCAGAAATGTAATACCTTGTCTATGAAGTTTTCTTCTTGTTTGTGCCATTTAATGGATAATTCGTATTTTGTTTCCACATTTCGCTCTAAGTGAGAAAAAAAGGCGGATTTCTTACACTTCATCCAATAAAACATGGCTGGGGTTTCATTTTTTCTTAAACATTATAACTAGTTATTCCTGCTCTTACAGAAGTATCCTAAAAACAAACAAATAAAGCGTTTATATAAATATATGAACATAAGAGCTGTGTGTGATTTAAGTTTAATGTATGTATGGTTAGTTTGACCATCAGTGTTCATTTATATTTAAATAAATGACTCCAATACAATAACTACATTTTATCTATGAAAAGGAACACTGGGCTTCTTTGCCAGGAATATGTGAGATTTTTAAGGACAACATATTATCAGGGAGCCTGTACTAAACTTGAGTTTTAAACCCATTCATATGTACAGTATATTTACAGATTAAATTGAGGCAGAGACCATTGTATGAGTGACTCCAGCTCCTAAATCACAGCTTTTTCCTCAACAGAAACGCCCTGAAGTATCTGCTCTTCCCTGCTTACTATTTCTGAAACGACCAGATCGATTCACTGAGGCAACTGCAGCAGGTGTTGTAGTGAAAATTGCCTCCCCTGATGTTTGTCTGTGTGAAAATGGGTGGAGGCCTGCAGGTTCACTATGAAGGGGGTTTGCCTTGGCCTCTTGGCTCGGTGTGTATGTGTGTCTCTGTGTGTCTCTTTGTGTAGTCTTTATGATGTGTTGTACATGTGAGTCTGTTTATGTGCCTGTGTCCATGTCTGACCATGTGTTGTCTGTTTGCAGCAGTATACATTTACTGTGGTGTTCATGGCTGCCAGGCAGACCACTCCAGAGACCAGAGTGTGTTTATTGAGCTTTTTTTTTGTCTTGCTTCAAGACACTGCTGCTGCTCTGTGCACACTCAATCTTCCCCTTTGAGGTTTAAACCCTCTTTCCGATATCCTAAAGGCAACAAATGGTTGTGTCTCAGTTACAAAAATCACCAAAATATGAAACTTATTGTCGAACAGCAACAAACAATAATACAAAATACTTTGCTTTGTTTCTCCATCATCCCAGCTGCAGTCCAACATCCATTTTCTTCTCAAACTATAATCAGTCAATGGCAGCATACTGGCTCATTACAACCAATAAAAGACCATTCAAACTCCACCAAATCAAATCAATGGCTTAGATTATTCTAATCAAGAGTTTCTCAATGTTGGTGCCAAATAAGGAAGTAGAGCTATTTGAGCTCGTACTCAATAGATACAAAAGGGAAATCTGCAGGGCAGCTGCATGTCTTGTCACTCAGACGTGAAGTCCTGTCAAGCCACCATGTCATGTTCTGTCCTTTCCTCCTTTCTCTTGGCAGCGACATTGTACAGTTATTTATGATGACTTCCCTTCTCTGCGAGGAGTAAATATCACAAAAAGCGAGACATCCTATAAGCTCTTTTTTCTCTCAGTGTGAAGTGCAATGTTACACAGGAAGTGTCACAGCTTGGCTGAAAGAGCAGGAATATTTGTGTACACTGCTATGGCAATGCCTGATGGGACAACAGTGGTTCTAAAATGGCTTTTGTGTGTTGTGAGGCTACAGATTATTAGAGAAAAGTATTTGCATTTTACCAGCTGTCAGCTCACAGTCAACAGCAATCAATGGTCTGCAATACTTGGAAATTCTCATAGAAGCTGATTTGTTTCTTCTTTTCGCTCACAAACTAATGATTCTTCAACTTTAATAAAATCACCAAAATACCAGGTGTGATGTATTCTGAATTATGTTAAGTATTGAAAGTAGCTACTGTACAAGGAACAAACTGCAATTGTCTAGAAATACTTGCTGGAACAGAGGCTAGGCTCGACGTGACATCAGGACTCTCGAAAAGCAAGGCATTAAGCAAATCAAGTTCAAGTCTCGGTTTGGCAAAAGAGACTGGCAGCTGTTAAGTCATATGAAAAATATGAACAAAAAAACAACCTAAACAGATGAAAGCCATGCATCCGACGTTTGCTTACAACCTCATGTACACACAAAAGTGGTCAAAAGGCGCAGCTAACTCTGCAGGCCACATGGCAGCAAATGGCAAATGGAATAAAGTACAGTGGAGAATAGATTTAACACACCTGCTCCAGCAGACCAAAGTGAATCCATCTGGATTTTTGTCTGTTTTTCCAGATGGCCAGTTCAGGAATGTTGGCAAGGTAATCTTTTATTCAAGCCTACATTCATTTCTATCCTTTGAAAAGAGAGGTCACAGCAGCTCTTGGAGCTCACTCAGTCTCCATTATTTGGCCCATTAATGTCAATTATATCAATTCTGGAGTTTCTCAAACAATTAAGAAGACAAACAACACACCAGAAACGCTCAACAGTAATACATCACATTAAAGTGTGCCACAAGGTCAAGTTAAAGGTCCACATCTTCCCATCATTAATGTCAGACCTTAAGCCCATGTGAGGGTACATTCACTTGGCAGGTGAAGGGTTGGGGTGGTGCTACGTCTACTCCATATGTCACATCTGCAAAACTACTGTGTAAACCTGTAATACAAAGCCTTTAAATTGGACCTCCGGGATGTCTCTTGAAAAGTCACAGTGGAGCATTGCAGGTGCAATTATTTTACTGTATGCAGGCTGAATAAAGTCTCATATTATTTGTTCCATTGAAAACTGATGTTTAACATTTCAGTGGTTGGTTATTTTCTTAATGTTTGAGAACTTTGATAGTGAGGAAGATATTTTAAGTGCTTCATTTGGTCATTCAATAATAAAACAGTAAATTAGCTGTACTGAAAAATTGTCGCTGATGTGTAGTCAGCGACACACTTTTTCATAATGTCAAAGTACATTTAGCCCCATTTGTGACCTTAGCAGACCATATGTCGATGTATCTGTCAGACATTCATGATCCCCAGAGGTAAAGCATCTTGACAACTACTAAATGAATTTCTACAGACATTCAATGTTCCTATGGGAAGAAATTGTAATGTTTTTAAACGACGTTACCAACTGATCCTCAGAATTTTTATCCAGCATCATAATCAGGTCAAATATTAAACAAATGACATTTCGCATCAGCCTCAGCTATATTTTGTGTTCAGTGCTAAATAGTAAACATGCTAAACCAATATGCATAACATTACACCTGCTAAAAATCAGCTTGTTAAATTGCAATTTTGAGCATTTGAGCTTGCTGATGCTAAGGTGGCTGCAGTCTTGATATACAGACTAGGTCAGCCACTGCTTCAATGTACCATAGCTAGTGTAGTGAAGTGTGGAAGAGTGGAAGGAAGCGATTGCTGTAGGTGTTACATTGTGTGTCAGTTTGCTCGAAAGATAGTGGTGGTCTTTGCGCCATACTGTAGATAGTTGGATGGTGTAACAGCAGCCAGTGCGGTTTGAGTTTTGGAGTGTTCATGATGATACGGTATTACTAGACGATAATAACAGGAGAAACAGGAGCTCAGCTAATTGCTGCTCTTACGCCTTAAGCAAGCCCCATTAAGTAGCGGTAATGGTGGCAAAGAGCCAACTGCTCAAGGACAGCAAGCCCAGAAACCCAGGTGAAGGGCACTTGTACAGAGTACATGTAGGAAGAGGGGGTGTCCAGGAATCCATCCATCACCACAGAATGTATAGGATGTTAAAGACAGGAGTGTTATTATCAAAGTATAAATGTAGATACACAGTATTTGCTATATATGCTTACAAACAGTAATCTTTTCGAGAATATTTTATAGTTAAATACAAATGGACAAATTGTTCCCAATTCCACTTTAAGGATCAGTCATCCAAAACAATGTCTAAATTACTAAAAGCCCCTTTGCTTGCCTTTCCTTCTCCTCAAGGAGCTACTGCCAAATGCTTTTTGGAGCATAATGGCGTGAGCTGGGCCTCAAACCCTGAATGGCAGAGTGGGGGGGGGGTGGTAGTAGAATCAAGGTGAAGGTAAAGCCCAGATGAAAGACAGAAAACTAATAGGACAGTGACAGAGGAGAAACAGATTTATATCTGCCTCCCTTTATAGTGAAGCAGAGTCTGCCTAAAAGAGTGAATCAAGGTGAAAGAGAAGAGAAGATAAGAAAAGAGAGAGAGAAAGGGAAGGGGATGACCAAGAAAGAATGATGAATAAAGTAACAAAGAAAAAGGCAGACAGAGAAAAGGAGCAGGGGAGGCTTTTATCAGACAGATTAACTCCCCTCTGTCAGATCACCTGCCTGCAGCACAAACACAGACAGGCACACGAGCACATGTATACGCACACACACGTACAGTATATGCACAACGTGGACATCAGCAAAAAGAAAATATGGTAAATATCATTTGAATTGTGCTCTATGCATATTCTTGCAAACTTTTATACAGAAGCAACACTAAAGAAAGTTGATTTATATCATAGTATACAGATCTCATCAGCTCTAAAATCCCTCTGGCAGTGGTTCAAATTCATTAAGACAAATGGCACCGAGCCCAAGATGGCGGAGAGGGAATTGAAGGACCACTTTCATCACATTATTGAAATACATCACTGACGCAAGACCATAGAAGCAGCTCTGTGACAGCATACATTATTTGGTGAGATATGATTTAATATTTGTTATCAGATTGCACTCCAAAACTTCAAGGTGATTGCTAATGGAGCACGCCTGTACCTGCAGGTCATTTAACCCTGAACCTGGAGAGTGGCATTGTAATTTTGTAACAAGATATCTAAAGT